TTAATTTCAGATGCTTATTAGCACTATGAAGGTGGCATGCATTAACTCTTGCATTGCTCAGTGTCAGTTTTCAGAGATGCAGACTGATGGGTGTATTGTTTAGAAGTTACTTCCTTTGGCCTTTGGGCCATGCTCTGATTTTACAGAGAGCCCTAACGATGGTGCTGGGGTGAAGCTGCTGGCAGTGGTGACAGATGTGTCACTCAGAGGACCCTGGTCTGTGTTTGAGAAGGAATCTTGGAGCAGGTTCCTGCTGTCAGAGGGCTGTGGTGTAGTGGGACCACAAGCAGATGTGGGGACTAGAGATTCCTGAATTTCTATTAGCTTGGTTTGGGTTTAATGTAGTTTCTAATGCCCTAAGGGAGAATAATTAATGCTGCAGTTCCTCTTTAACAAGAAAAAAAATAAAAATAGTGCTTGCTTTACAAGGATGTGCTAAAGGGCAGTAGGTTAAATATGGAAAAAGCAGTTGTTGGTTTATCCATGTGCTGCTTACTAACCCCTTCTGTGTTTCATTGTCAAAACTGGGTTTATCACTGGCTGCTGCAGCAGTAGACTCCTGTGTGGTTCTTTTTCCTCTCCTTGTTGCAGAGCAGCTCCATGTGGTGCTGTGGTCACAGCATGCTTTCTGAGAGACCCAGGCCAGTGCCACTGTTGAGACCAGTCGAAGCATGGGGTCAGTCCCTTCCCCTTGTCTGCACATTGTAAATCTGATTGATTTGCAGCTCTCTGCTCCTCTTCTTATCCTGTAATCACCTTGATCTTTTCCTTGCATCCTCTTTTCCTTTGATCAGGATGGTTTCTCTTAACTGCATATTGAAGTGTTTAACTTCTGTATCTTAGCTAAATTAAGAAGGTCTGATGGTACCAGTGTCTCCCAGTGTCCAATCAGTGATTGGAATTCTTCTGATGAAATTCTTCAGTAAATCCTCAGCCTTTGAATCTGACTGCAAGACTTTTCTTCATGTAGTGATTGCTCACAGAACTATTTTGGATCTTATTTTTTAATCTAATTCCACTGTACTTTCTATTAAAATTTGCCTTTTCTTGTCTTGTATTAGGCCTTCAAGTATTTCCTACTTGTCACCAGTTCAATTCCTGGCTCAGGGCTGGCAGGAAAAGTCACTCAAGCATTCCTCCTTTGGTTTTTGGACTTTTGGTCTTTAGTAGCAGTTGCTGCTTTTGTCTCAAATCATTTCCTGTTGCTTAAACCCATCACTTTCTTTGCTGCCTTAGATACTACTGCTGGACTGAAAATATATTGTCTCTTCAAATTATTGATAAAGGTGATGCTTGCCTCACACTGTTCCAGCATTTGAAAGTGGTGGTGGTGGGGTTTTGTTTGTTTTGGTTTTTTTCTTGTTGGTTTGGGGTTTTTTTCCCTTTCTTCTAATAAACTGTAATGAAAAGGGTGGCTCATGTTTTTGACCAGACTACCTGAGTATGTCTTGCTCGTTTCCCTTTTGCTTCTCTGTGCTTTTCACAAAGCTATTGGAGCAGCTGCTTCTGAAGTCTGCAAAGTTCAGACCTGGGGAAGGAACTTGGAGCTGACTCCTTGCTGCAGAGTGTTACAACTGAGAAAGCAGTTAGCTGAGGAAGCACGTGTTCCTGGAGCAGCTGAGAGCTTTTGGAGGCTGAATAAATTGGATACGAGACGATAATTTTAAAAAATCAAGAGATGGAACCATTCTAGGCAAGTTTTCAAGTGCCAATATGTTTTTCAGTTGAGCAGAGTGGCGTTGCCAGTAACTCAGCTAGAAGGGTGTTTTGGAGGTGGCCAACTCTTCAGCTGGAGCCCAGTCAAATTCCTTAGTGTATCAGATTTGCAAGTAACTGTCCAAAAAACAGCTGTAAGGCTGAGAATGACAAAGTCTTTGAAATGTGCAATGTCTGTTCAGATGGGAGATAGATGTGATGCTAGTGTCTACTCTGGAGTTGTGGAGGATGTCCCTGCTTATGGCAGAGGGGTTGGAACTGGAGGATCCTTGTGGTCCCTTCCAACCCTGACAGATTCTGATCTGTTTTGGCAGAGGACTTTGGAGCCCTGGTGGTTGGACTTGATGATCTTGGAGGTCCCTTCCAACCTAAATGATTCTATGACTTGGAAGATGAGATCTCAGCAGAGCTAACATCTCCAGAGCAGAGCTCCTTGCGTGTGAAGGAGAGTAACAGGAGGAACTACTCGTCTGCTTTCTGAAAAGCCTCTTTATGTAATGGAGATGAGTGGGAGGAAAGATACTGTCTGTAGTCTTGCTTGTTGTGCTTGATCTGCTCTTTTGGGAAACAGGAAGGTGCTTTGGACTGTGTGACTCGAGGTTTGTAGTATGTTTGAAAGCATCAGTAGATTTCTAGACCTGCAGAGTTTTCCAGCTGGACAGCTGCAGTAAGTAACCTGGGTTTTAATGGTCCAGAAAGTACCAGATATGTGCTGGTAAATAGATTTCTCATTTTTTTTTGGCTTTTCATCAGTGCATGGGATTTGTTGTCCTAAAGCTCATGTTGTAAGAGTTCACATCATGTTAGTAAGTGCATGTTTATGCATTGCCAATATTGTTTCCAAATATTGTTAGATATTTTATTGCAGCTTTAGCTGCCATAACTAGTGGAATTAACTGGTGGCTTCTGGTGGTGGATGCAGGAATTGTTCTGAAGTGGATCACAAAGAGCTGCAAAGTACCATGCTGTAATGGTGCAGTGGTGGGAAAGCTGAGTCCTTGGGGGTCTTGCTGAGACACGGGTGCCTGAGGTTCAGTGGCTAGAACACACTTGGGTTTTCAGAAACTCTTTGATCGTAGGTTGGATATTAAGAAAAATTTCTTCACTGAAAGGGTTGTCCAGCCCTGGAACTGGTTGCTCAGGGAAGTGGTGGCGTCACTGTCCCTGGACATGTTTAAAACTGGTGCAGATGTGCTGAGGGACATGGTTTAGCAGTGGACTTGGTTATTGGTTGGACTTGATGATCTTAAAGGTCTTTTCCAACCTAAACCATTCTATGATTAAGTGCTCCATCAAGTTATTGGAGGAATGAAGTTGCTGTGAGACTGAAAGAAAAATTCTCTTATGGATTGGCATCACTGTCCCTGGACATGTTTAAAACTGGTGCAGATGTGCTGAGGGACATGGTTTAGCAGTGGACTTGGTTATTGGTTGGACTTGATGATCTTAAAGGTCTTTTCCAACCTAAACCATTCTATGATTAAGTGCTCCATCAAGTTATTGGAGGAATGAAGTTGCTGTGAGACTGAAAGAAAAATTCTCTTATGGATTGGAAGATACTTAAAGAATGAAGCAGAGGACTTCCAAGTGACTTGTCAGGATAGAGGAAAGTCAGTGGTGGGATCCCCCAGGAGCTGTTTGTGGTACTGGCTTTGTTCAGCAGCCCCAGTCATCTGGAGAGAGGATTTAACAGTGGGCTCCCCCACTTTGTGAGAGCTGTTAAACCCTGTGTAGATCAATGCCATGCTGGTGACAAGGAGCTGAGCAGGCAAAAAGGGTGGGAGGTGAGCTTGGAGGTAGGAAAATGCCAAGTAAGGTGTATAAGGAAAGGTAGTCCAAAAATTTTTTTTCTGTTTTACCAAGAAAAGGTGATCATACCTACATGGAACCACCAATCATGAGTCGAGCATCAGCTTATTAATATCTGTTACTCTAACTTCCACTTCTGCAGCTTCCTCAGCTCCGGGTGCAGGGACAGCCCAAAACACTGTAAGGATGCCAGGTGTCATCAGCTCTGCTGAGACCAGCATGGGGACAAGCAGCTAGATGTTTAAGGGGATGGAGTAGCTGCCTGGGGAGATGGGGGCTGACAATGCTGGGATTCTCCAGCTGAGGAGATAAAGCCCAGGGGTGACACCATCAAGGTTTGAACAGCTGTGGAGTTAGTGATAAACTAAATGCAGTGGTGGAGAGCACACAGTGGGACTAGTAAGTGTTAGCTTAAAGCAGATGATAGAGAGGAGCTTCCTCACATAGCAGAGTGGATATCTGGTGTCTGCCCCCAAGGAAGTGGTGGAAGGAGACAGGACCAAGGGTGCAGAAAGGGATCAAACAGCTTCATCTGCAGACCTGAGAGGGGAGGGGATGTGTCTCCTGAATGAAACCCTTATGGGGGCTGTGGTTATGGGGAGGATCTCCTGGGACTGGGGCTCCTGGGAGCTGTGTTCTGCACTGGATGGGCCATTGATCTGTCTTAATGAGTTTCTTCCTGTGCAGAGTGCTGGTTTCCTTCTTCCAGAGGGTCTGTTCTCTGGTGGAGTCTCGTTTAATGAGCTGATGCAGCAGAGTAACTGCTGAGTAGGTGGCTTGGCTGTGAAGAATTGATCCTTTCTTCTTAATAGGCTTCTTAGTCTTGGTCGGCATGTTCAGTTTCAGTTTGAACTTGGACAGACAGGAAGGTGGGAGAAAAATATCACAAAAAAATGGTATCTCTGTTACTTTCCTCCTACATCTTTCCCCTCCCTTCCTCCCACTCTATTTCTTGTGTCTCCCACTCTTTTCCACTCACATCTTTTCAGCAGTGTGATTGCATCTTGTCTGTAAATAACCTTTAAGCCTTCAGAGGCAGAGGTGATTCCCTAATACAGTTATAGACTAAAATATTTTATTTAGTGCCCTATGCTATTGATCTATCATTGAAGTAATATTTATATTTAGAAAAACATCTTTAAATACGAGCTGTGACTTAAGAGTTGTGATATGGGACTTCTGGGCTCCAAGCTACTTTTCTTAGGGTTGGAGTAGATGGCTAAAATACTGCCCCTGTTCTTGAATTTTCTCAGCACATCAGCTTACCTGTTTACTGACATGATTGTATGGAAAGGTCAAGTTTATTAAGGCCTTTAGTATGTTTAGGTGCAGGATGCTGTGATTTTTGGGCATAAATACTTCGTTGCACGCGGTATGGTAAGTACCTGGAATCTGCCTGTGGAGAGCCTGCCCAAAACCACTGACCTCTTGGGGAAGTGAAATGGCCTCTCAGTCTTTAAAATCTCTTGTTTCAGGAAGTTAAGAAGGATGTAGAGCCCAAGGACGAAGCCGTGCCAGTGAGGAGGGAGAAGTCTGGCAATGTAGCCAGTCTGGTGCAGCGCATGAGCAGCTATGGGCTTCCAGCAGGAGGATTTCAGCCTCATCCCCCGTCCAAAAGCCTCAAGAAGAGTATGTAGTCTTTCCAAGTCCTTCCATTGCGTAAGCTGCTGACGTGCATTTCTCTTTTAATAAATATGAATTATTTAGTAATTGACTTAGTTTTAAGGTTGTATGGAAAACTAGAGACATAGGAGGAAAAACTTCGATTCTAAGCCAGATTCTGTTCCTGGATGCATGGGCAGAATGCTTATATGTAATTCTTAACAGCAACAATAGGGATGAATTTTTATGGGAATGTGATTTAGACCCCTTCCAGATTCCAGAATTGCTCTGTAGCTTCATGTGAGCTCTGCTTGTTCCATTCTTAGGGACCTGAATAACTGCGGGCCTGCTCATGATAATCAGAAATCTTCCTGTGGTCATTTTGTTTAAACAGAAAAGTTTTGCTAGAAATTCAGGGTGTTGTGACAGGGGAACATTTAGCAGTTCAGGTTCCTCTTGTTTGGTAGGCTTGCTTCTAGTGTTGAAATAGGGTGGAATTGGTGGTATCTGAGAACAACTGGTCTCCCTTTGATTTTAACTGCAGCCCCCAGCACTGTCAGCAGTGCACAGCTGGTGCCTCTGAATCTGTGTTCTCTCTGTTTTGATGCCAGTATTTAAATCCAGGTGGCTAAAAAACCTAGAGCAGAAAACTTTGTGTTCCCTGCATCTAGACAATTGTATTTGACCACCTCAGCCTCATAAGAGACAATGCTCTAGATTACTCTGCCTTCTTCTCTCTCAAAAGGCATTGCAGACATTTATGATTTAAGCTTGGGTTTTTTAAAAGAAAAATTTAGAACTTACTGTTTCTGGTATGTTTGTGCTTTGAGTTTTTTGCCCATAAAAGGAGAAGAGCCACTAGTTGTATTTTAAAGCCCTGAAACAGCACCTTTCAACTTTGTTGAAAGCTTCTTCTGGGCAACTAAGGCTGTTACCTTCAGAAATCACTCTTTAGTGAATCTGACCTGTATATGCATATTGGCAACAGCACGTATGTGCCAGTTGGATGTTTGCATCAGCAGCTTTTTGAAATCTAGCCTGAAATATTAATGCTGTTCCTAGATTAATGCACCGAGCTCTGAAAGGGCATCAATCCTGGTGGGTCCTTCCAGCTCAGGATATTCTAGGATTCTGTGATTCTGTGAACATGAGCTGATTCCAGTTCAGGTGTTGGCTGCTCATTCTGATCTCTCTAAGCCTGGAACAATCCTGTGTTTAGCATGTCTCACCCTCATGCTGGTGGTGGCCGTGGCCAGGGTGGTAGCTACAACTTGGTCTCAGACTCTGCAGTGCTCTGGTTATTCTCATCCTCCTGGGAGAAAATGGTGTTCATGGACTTGACTTTAAGCACACAACTGTTCACCTGGCACAGCCACGGTCTCTGCTTTTCCAGTTTACTTGCTGTTCCCTCTTTCCTAGAAGGCTGTTTAAACAGCTCCTGCAGATCCTGTTTGCTCTGTGCCTGGGCAGTCGCTCACTCCCTTCACAAGGTTTCCAGTGCTTAGTTGTCCTTCCTTTTCTGGTTCCCAACCTGGTAAAATGAGCATTAAAAATAAAGTCAGGCTTTTTGACAGCAAGTTCCCAATGTGGAGCGAGGTAGGTTCTCTCTGCCTGTTGTTCCCACGTGCAGCTCTTGCTGAATTCAGGTGCTTTATGGTGGGTGGGGAGTAAGATCCAGGTAATATTCCCATCAGATAGATGGCTGCCTTTATTCAGGAAAAGGGAAAATAGAGGAGGTGTGCTGAATTATGGCAACAAAAGGCTAAATTTGCTTTACCCTGTACAAAACAATACCTAAAGCCAGACAATTTGTTTTGGAAAGGGACAGAATTGCCCAGGGGCTGCCAGCCCAGCAGTCCTGCGCCAGGTGAAGCTGGACTTGTTTCCTGAGAAGCCTGGTTAGCTTCCTGGGTTAGTTTCAAAACTGGAAAGGCAGCACTTCCTAAGGTGGGTATCACTGAAATCAGACCTCAGGTGAGAGTGAGTTCGGGATGTGAAATGCCTCTGTGGGTTTGTTTTTCTCCTCTTCCCTTTTCAGATCGACTTAGAATGTGAAAAGGAACAGCAAAATCAGATTGGTACCAAATGGGCAGGACTGTTTTATGTGGCTCTCTTTGGTCTTGCTGAATCTCATACAAAGGAGGAGCCCTGAAAGGGCTGCAGGAGGTGGTAAAAGCCAGTGCACTGTTTATTGCAATTACTGTTAACTCAACAATCCCTCTCGGGTGATGTGCAAGTTTCAGTGAGTTAAAGGAAGGGTCTATTATGTGGACAATTAGGTGTTATTAGAAATAATCCACAGAGCTTCATACTTGTGGTTGTTTCCTGTCCCTTTTAAGCTCTTCAGAGCACAAGCCGTTGACCAGCGTGTAGAAAATTCTTGGTTTGGTGTTCCCTCTTTGAGAAGTTTCAGGTGCTGGATATCCTGTAGGTGCCTGGTGTGTTTTGTGCTGAGGACACAGGGTGTGGCAGCCCTCTAGTCCTCTGCCTTTGGATTTTCAGCACTGCTGTAATAAGACAAGGATCAATCCCAGAGGCAGTATCTGTGTTTTGAAATGTTTTTACCCAGCTAATCTTAATTGCTGAAGCTTGAGTATGGCAGGAGTGAGAAGTATAAGAGAAAGTGTGAAAACTATACAGCTCCCACAAGCTGAAGCTTTACCACTCCAGGCGTTTGAGTCATATTTTCACTTAAGCTGTGGCAGATTGTTTTTGAGGAGGATAGGGAGCATGTGTGGGTCATAGTTCAGGATGACAATTGCCTTTAAAAAGCATGCTGGCTGCTCTGTTGTGGAAGAGGTCTGAAGGCATGGCCTCTTGTGTGGAGGAGGGATGCCTAAAAAACTCTTCCAAGTTAGGCAGTAGCACCACTCCAGGGTATGTGGAGAGTAATTGGGCAATTGTAGGTTCACACCAGTCTGGCTGGAGGGTTTGTTGGTAGCCACTTCTGTACTCTCCCTTCTCAGGCTGTCATTTTGTCTTTTTAATTCCTGCAAAGCTTTAATAATAGGTGGCAAACATCTAAAGACCGCACTTCATTTTAATTTTGCCTTTGTTAATTAAACACTGCTAATTGAAGCTTAGATTGAATTTCTCAGCCTCATATTGGCACTGAGAAAAGGGAGATTTTTTGCATTCACAAATAAAAAAAAAAAGAGTCTGGATTTTGAAATATGAGCTGAGCAAATGTTAGCAATGCTTCAGACCTGAGGTAGCAAGCTCTTTGTTAGAAGGCAGAAAGGCTGTCAGCACTTTGGTGTTGTGCAGAGCAAAATGCCTGTCACTCCTTTCAGGATTGCTTAAAAACTGGAGGCTCAAACTTGCACATTTCTCCCAAGCAGGTGCTAACACTGCAGCTGGCAGCAGTCCTCATTCCTGCAGGTTTGGGGGCAGGAAATAGCTTGAAAAATCCCTGTAGTGGGGATTTATCTGACTTGCTTGTGTCAACATGGTTTTTATAACCTGTGGGTAATTGGCAGGGTAGTGTTTGTTTGTGAGCAGCAGTCTGTGAAGCTTGATGGTTTTGAGCTCTAAGATACGGCTCGCGAGCCTAAAGCGGCACCAGCAAACGGGGAAAAGCAGCAGCAAAAGCTAGGTAGCTTTTGGGAGTGGTTATGGAGTCTTCTGGTCAGGTTTGATCCTCAGGAGCCCAGTGTAGGAAAGACTACAAGGCTGCTTTCCTCTGCAGGTGTTCTCACTTCTGTCATTTCCCTCCAATCAGGGTCCAAGAAGCGGCAGTGCAAAGTGCTCTTCGAGTACACCCCGCAGAACGAGGATGAGCTGGAGCTCAAGCTGGGGGACGTGATCAACATCACTGAAGAGGTAAGCTGCTTCACAGAGCCAGTCAACCCCTCATGCAGCCAAAAGTCAAACTGGTTTTTTTTTGTTGATTTACTTGAATTACAAGGAGGTTGGAAAAATAGCGTGGGAAGTAGTGTTTTTGGAGCTAAAGCTAGTCGTTTAGGAATTCTCGGGATCTAATCCTAAATCAGTGAATGCTGCCTGGGGGAAGTGTTTTATCATTGCAGCAATAAATTGTGATCTGTTACACAGACACCTTTTTAAAAAGTCTGTGGAGTTTGTTGGCCCTGTCTGCGTGGTCCTTGTTTTTAGGATGCTTATGCTAAAACTATTTGACCAGTTGCATCTAAGTTGACGTACTCTAACTTCAGTTGTAGATGAAAAATGTTATTTGACCTGATTTTCACATTTCATGTGTTCTTGCAAAACTCATTAAAGCTTTGAACTAATAGTAACAGTACTCAGCACAATATACTGTACACAGTTGTACTGTAGTACAATATACTTCAGCCCACTTGCCCAAAAATACCAAGAATACAAATGCACTCAACAACATGTTACTATTTCTCTTGTTTTCCTTTTCCACTGGGTTAAGAAATACAGTGAAAGATACATTTTGATGTTCAGACCTGGATGGCATTGGCCCTATGGATTTGAGTGGGGATTTAGGGTGGGGGGGTTTCTTACCTTTACCTAGCTACCTGCTTCCTTGGTGTCTGTTCTGTCCAGTAGCAATTTGTGTTGAGGATGGCTTGAATATGTGAGGAGTCTCTTACAAGGGTGACATCTGTCAGGCAACCTGTGGAAAAGACCAGAGCCATCATGGGAGGAACCTTCCCATAACTAGGTGGAGAACTTCTGCCCAGCATGCTCTGACCTTCACTGCTGCCATCTCTTCTTACTGTCTCCCTGAGGGTCTGAGGAGGGAGAAGACTGAACTTTTTTTTCCTAGCCCTGTCTTTGGTGGTGCTTTTTAAGTAGCTTTATGACATTGTGTTGTTCTCATGCATGACCTCTTTCAGAGAGTATACAAACTCTCCAGGATCCCAGCTGTTGCTGAGAAGGACTTTTCCATTCTCCTAGCAAGGAAAAAGTTGTGCTTTAAGATGCATTCACACTAATGACATCTAGATTTTGTTCTCTTTAAATAAACAGAGCAAGTGACTTGTAAAACCTGCTCAGTAAATCACAGTTTCATAAATACCATTGTGTGTGGGTGTTTTGTAAAGGAGTGCTCCTGGATAACATCATCAGTTGAATTTGTGGATGGTGTCTGTGCACAGCAGTCGTGACTTTGGATGGTCCAACATAAGCATTTGCAAGAGAGAGCACATGCAGTAAGGTCCTGCAGCAGCTGCTGGTTTGGGTCTCACGTGTCAACATCTGGAATTATTTTGGGAGGGTTGTTCACTGTGTTGCATCAGAAATGACCAAGCAGCTAAACAGAATAAAAAGATGAAAGCCTTTCCTTATCTGGTGTCTTAAGGAAACGTGGATTTTAATTTAATTTTTCTTTTTTGCTCAGCCCCCATGCTTCTTCCTTTCCTAATGATTTGAAGATCCACATCTGTTGTGTTACCCAGCCTTTGCTGCTGCTGAGAAAAACTTCATCCTATTTTTAGGCCAGTGCTATTGGGTAGAACAATATTGCAGCTAACAATCAGCACAGAGCTGTCTGCACGCTGTTGTTACAGTGGTGTAGAGCAGACCTGACAGAGGTCTGCTTCACACAACTGTGCTGATGGACCAGAAATGTGAGGAATGGTACAAAATACTATCTTGCCTGGTATGCTGGGATAACTTGTTTTAAGTAACTTGTCTTCATGATTGAGAGATGATCTCCACTTCCATCTAGATGTAAAAGCTGTTACTTAGATGTGTATGCAGTGAACTCCTAACTGGCACTTGAAAGGAAGATAATTTGGTCACTGTCTTTGGGGAAAATAAGGTAAAATCCACTCCACAAGGTGATCAGTTCTACCTGCTACCTGGGAATAATGCAGCATTTAGCCTGTGCAACTGTTCTCATGTATTTAGTAGTTACAACTGATACTACTGGTGGTAAAATCAAAGGTGGAAGCAATGGGTACAGAAATTAAATGGGTAATATTAAAGAGAGCAGGCTACAAGGAGCAGAAATCGTTTTAGGGGAAGAAGGCCCTTGTGCTGTGCTGGCTAAATCCACAGGGACATTGTTTACAGAGCATGTGGGGTTTGCATGCAAAATACACACACAGTGCCTGTGGTAACAGTATCCTCGCTGCAAAACTTTTGTTTCTCCTTTAAATTCTTCCCCACTCCGTTGAGATGCAGCACTACCTAGTAGATTTATTTTTGTAGTGTTATGTTTGTAGTATTTGCATGCTGTCTTATCAAGCATAGTTGAAATTTATGTGACCCCATAAGTAGAGTTTTTATTAAAAAAAGCCCCAAGCGATCAAATTGACAAAACTGCTTGTTTGAGCCCCACTCTCTCCTCGCTTTGTTTGGAAGTCTTAATGAGTTTTAATGATCTTATTTCTATAAGCAGATGGAATTCACACTCAAAAAAAGTACTGATGTGTGTTCCAGAGCTGTACCTCCCTCTTGTGGCAAGTGTATCTGGTGGTAAGATTTTGAAGTGGGAGGTAAAGAGTCATGAAATTGTTGCTGTGCTGCTAGTGTCCAGAGATGCACAGATGTTCTCCACCAAAGCAAGGAGAACTTTTTTAATCTGTTTTTTTTTTTTTTTAATGTTGATTATAGACACCTTTTTCTGGTAATATAATTTGCATATAGACTTCTTTTTAAAAACAACGTGGTGAGGAGGCTGAAGCAAGTACACTCAAGAAGTTTTGTTTTATTCACTTTAGCTTGCAAGTCTGTAGAGTGCTTTACTGACCTTACTTCCTGGCAGAACAATAAATGGATGCTCAAGTTGCTTTCTGTATCATAAGCATTAAAAATCCCTTTCTAATGGCACTTAAGGCATTTGAATTTTAGTTTTATGTAAAGTGCAAGGCACCAGAGCCTGCTCACCAGTAATCTATGCTTAAAATTTGTTTCAGAGGAGCAGACCCTGGGTTTGAACCATCCACAGCAAAGCTCTATTTGAGCACCAAGATGTCTTTAAAAATAACAGTGCTCTTTTCATTGCCTGTCTGTCTCTGTAGCTGCCAGGTTTGCATGTGTTCTGCTTGCCTAGAGGTAGGCTGGCATTTAAAAACTGTGCCTGTATGTCAGGCGTAGTGACCTAGAAAAGAAGGCTAGAAAAGGATAATGGAAACAACTGCTGCTTTTTTAACCCATATTGTTTTTCTTTCTTATCTAAAACTGTTCAGCTTTGCAGCCCCAAAGCACAGCGACTGAAGTGAGATGTTTTGAAAACTTCTCTTAATTATAGATTTAACATAGGGCTTATTAGGCAAATGCAGTTGATATATTTAAGAGATTTTGAAAACAAGTTCATAAACTTGAAGAGCACAATCCTTACTCTTCCTTCTGGTGTGGTTTTACTCTGTCACCAGTGCAGGGCCAGCTTTTGCTTGATCTGCTTTGGGCTGTGGGGTATTCCTGGCAAACATTCCCTTAAATCTCAGAGTATTGCAGTGTAAAACTAGTAATCCAAGCACATAACTAAGCACCAGAGTCATTACGTTCCTTAATTCCTTATTTCCAGGGTAAAAATGAGTTGCTTTGTGAAAAACAAAGCCAGCAAAATTTGACACCCAACAGACTTTTGCCCTTAGGACTGCTGTGTGCCACCACAGAATCCTCGTGCATCTCAGCTGGCCAGCTCTGGTGGGAAAGCATCTGTACCTTCTGACCATGGAGAGCTGGGCCTACGCTGTTGAGCCAGTTGCCTCCTGCTAGAAGGAATGGACAACTTGGTTTTCCATTACTCTGTGATGTACTTGAGGACTTTTCTGTTCTACCCAACATTATCTGTAGACATTATGTCTTTGAAACTTGTGTCTTTTGATCAAAATTGTTGGAAGCTGTTCAATGGGTACAAGGCCAGTGGGAATATGGTGGGAACTGGACAAGACAGAGGCAAACACAGACAGCAAGGATACATAAAAATTTCCTTAGAAAGCTGGGCTGAATTGTGTCTATTTCATAAACAGTTTAATATCTTCTTCTGTTAGATGTGTAATGCCTGTTATTCTCTCTTACCTTGAGAAAGCTGGTGAACGTTTTGCTGCTCTTCTGGATTAATTGGCATGGGGCTCATCTTGTGTTTCAGGATCATTGCTGTGGTGGTAGAAGTGACAGTAAATTATTTTCTTGTTTTTCTTTTTGCCTACTATTTCTATACCTCTGGTAGGTTTCTTTAAAGGGAAATTGTGGTCATTTGAACTTGTTTGTAGAGTTTTATAAGTGCAGTATGGATGGAATTGGTAGGAATCTCCTTTTGCTTTACTGGTGATGTGCAAAATATTTCTGTACAGGTAGAAGATGGCTGGTGGAGTGGAATACTAAATGGCAAGGCAGGGTTGTTTCCTTCAAACTTTGTGAAAGAATTGGAGTTGACGGATGATGGAGAAACACAGGACACTCTGGATGACACAGGTGGTATATTCTGTTTGTTGTAAGCCCTTAGCAAAGTCATTTTAGATCTCGGGTGTAATTTGTAGCATTATGGTTGTAGTACAACAAAATTTGTAAAGAATTCAAGCTTCTTAAGAATGGTAAGTATTTCATTTCATTTTTAGAAAATATTGATGCTGAGTATAAAGATACCTGTCTTGCTCCTAACACACTTCTAAAAATTGCAGTCAAGGCCTTGAGCTTCCAAATGTATATGCTGCATTTTGTCTCTAGAAATTTTATCACTTTCAGAGTTGAGCTTTTTTTAGTACTGGTTATAAAATTGTTCTTCTATATATTAGCTTTCTTCATTCTTATTCTTGCAAATGTGAGTTCTTTCACAGCTGATAATTAGAAGTTGAATTGAATTAAAACTTTAGAGAGCATCAGTTGAAAATGAATCCTGGGAAGGGGGCTTTGGTTGTTTACTATGTGTTAATCTGAAAGTAAAATATTTTAAAGGCAATATTTACATTTAAGCCATTCCTTTGTGTCTATGACTATATGGCTTGGGCAGAAGCAGGTGGCCTGTGGCTGAACAGCAGCTGAGTGGTGCCAGGCAGATATATGCCTTACAGGCAATTGCTTTGTTCCCTTGAAACTGCACTTCAGAGGCATTCTGTCTGTGAAGACCTGTTTTAAAGGCTGGGGACTTGTGATATGATACTGCTGGGATGGAAATGCTCTTTGGGAGTAACACCTTAACGTGAGTCAATCGATGCTTGGAGATAGCTGGGTAATGTTCAAGAGCAGAAGTAAATCTTGCAGTATTGTACATCCTCATTTACCAGCTGTTCAATATTGATTGTTTTTAACAAGGGTTTGCTCAGAGATAGGAAAGAAAAGTCTGGCTTGGATTTTTTGTTTTGTTAATTATGAAAATAACTGCAGTAGCTTAAAACAAGAGTAGTTTGGCTTGAGCAGTTCCAAATAGCTCAGTGGCTGTGTCCTTGGAGGCCCAGGTCCCTGGGTTTAGTGGGGTCTGGTGAGATGAATTTACAAATGGCTCTGTGTTGGTGTTAATTCCCAAATACTGGTATCAGGATGATTGAAGAGTGATTAGAAGTAAATATATTTTTTATCAGCAACTAACAATTTGCAATTTTCAGCCACCTCCAGAGGTTCTATTTAATGCTCAGTACTTCCACAGTCAGAATCTCAGGTATCTGCTGGTTCTTCCCTCACTCCCAGGAAACAGTAAATGTCCCGTTCACTGACCTATGGTCTGTCAAATATGCAGCCTGGGCTTTTCTCATGGATGATGTTTCTGTCCTTTTAGATATCTAAGAGGGATACAACCAAGTGTAGAGTAGCTCAGTTGAGGAAAGATGAGAAGCTGAAGCTGAGAGGCTATGTAATTTTGTGGTGTTATCAAAACCCCTTAAATACATGGCTGAGGGAGGAGACTTCAGTCTTTATTGCAACTCCCATGCATGCATATGCTGGGAGGAACTTAGCTGAGAGGTTGAAAGATGTGGAGGCTATTTTGAGTTTGGTTTATAGAAGCTGTCTGTTTTCACATGACTATCTCCAGGAGTTCTGCACATGGAAAGAGTTTCCCATGAGTACTAGTTTGTAGATTTTAACAGATTTAACTGTAACTTAAAAAAAAGAGCTCCTAACACCTAAATTAAGTTCTTCTTTGAACTACAATTTTTTGGGGGTTAGATAAATGTCCCTTAAAACAGAAAGATTAAAATATTCTTAAATACTTGTTATATACCAGTAATTAACCTCAAACAACTATATCTTATTTGAATGTTGAACCTGTTTAAAAAATTAAGTGTTATCAGGTTGAAGAGATAGTGAAATAAATTTACTCCTTTCAGGTATTTTTGATAGTACATTTTGAACAATAGAAAAATTTCACTTTGGTGCCTTGAAAGACATTGGTTTTTCCTGTGGCTGCTGAAATGTGGCAGGGGCTCTTTACTGATTATCACTTTCAGCAGCTATAGCTGTGCAAATGACAAGCTTTTAAATATTCAACTGAAAGCAGGTCTTCAGAGAATCTGTAAGCAATATTTCATAAAACTAATGGAAAACACTGTTGTTAACAGACTCTGGAGCCTGAGTGATAATTGAAACAGTGAGAAATATTAGTGATCTGATGACTTAGTTGCCAGAGTATTCTGTGCAATACTGGTGTCATCCAAATGCTCTTATGTTAAATATACAACTAAAACAACTATGAGATATTCCAGGTAAAGTGAAGTTCTAGGAAAGCTGTTTAGCAAAAGCACAGCTGTGTTTCTTCCACTTTCTCTTTTTTCTCAGAAGAACAAGTAAATAACTTCAAATGCTAAAACAAATTTTCTTTCTTTTTTTTTTTACTTCCAGAGTCTGTTTTCAGTGGTCCTACCTCACCTGTGACCTCTCCAGGAAATGGGGGTGAACCTGGATCTGGACCAGCACAGCCAAAGAAAATCCGAGGTGTTGGGTTTGGAGATATCTTTAAAGAAGGCTCAGTGAAACTGAAGACAAGATTATCCAGTAATGAATCAGAAGATAAAAAGCAAGATAAGGTTTGTAGCAGTTCATATTACTATTTTTGGATTGGCTGTAAAAATAATGTGAAGTACATGGAATCTGAAGATGAGAGATGTTGCTGAATACACTGGCCTTTTAAAAATTTGTCAGTGTTGTTCCATAATCAGACTGTAATCATCTGCTAGTGCTTTTGCCTATAAAATAAAACTCTGGGACAAGACTGTTAAGTCTTCCTATACAAGTCAAACTTGGCCTGTAAAACAAGGAATATTTGAGGGTTTAGTTTTTGGGTTGTTTGCTTTTTCCAGGTCTTGATAGATACTGAAATATTGTTCTAGATGGCAGCCATCATTACCAGTGTAAATGTCCTTCAGTGTGGATGCTGCCAAGCTTTTAGCTGCAGTGGTGTCTTAATGAGCTGCATAAACTGCTGAGCCTGTAAGCCTGAAAAATAGTGTTCTACAATTTTGCATCCTTTTTCATTTTCTTTCCCCCTTTTTTTTTTTAATTTGCATCCTCCTTCATTTTCTTTCCCCCTTTTTTTATGAGTGAGTGGAAGGAGCACTCTTGTTCTCTGTATTGAACTTAAAGCTTAGGAGGGAGCAGATAATGCGGCGATAGTGGAGTTGCTTTAGTTTGAGTTTTAATTTGGTCTGAACCCAAGAGCTCTCTTATGCCTTGGAAGCACAACATTGATGGTCAGTCTTTTTCCTTGAATTTGTGCATCATTTATACCAAGAGCTTATATATGGATTTTCAGCTTTTAATAAATTAAAGGCAGTTGAGATAATCCAGTTTTTACTCAGGTGGTTAGCGCCAGAAAGCTTTTAAAAACCTTTGTTTTGCTTGAATTTGTCTGTGAGTTAAGGTCATTAATGCTGTTTTGCTGATGGATTTGCTTTGCTCTGCTGCCATGGAAATAATTGCACTGGTATGGCACAAAAGGTGGGGTGAGTCCCTGGGAAGAGGGTAGGGACAGAGACTTCCTTGAATGTTTTTCCCTTGGTAGGAGTGCCCAGAGCAATGCTCATCCACCTATAGATGTGGTGTGCAGCCTCTTTGTTCCTAGTCCAGTCAAAATATCAGATGATTCAGAAAATGGAAGTTAGGAGCGTGTTGCCTTCTGTTTAAAGCTCAGGGAATGTTACCTCCTTAAGAAGATGTTCAGCTTTGAGAACAGAAGGCTCCAGGAAGACCTTATTGTGTCCTTCCAGTATATAGATGAAAAGAGACTTTTTACTGAGCTTGATAGTGACAGGAAAAGGAGCAAATATTTTTAAGCTGAAAAAGAGTAGGTTTAGTTAGGATATAAAGAAAAAGTTCTCTATGATGTGAGGGACTTGTGACAGTGGAACAGGTTGCCCAGAGAAGCTGTGGTTGCTCCATCCCCAGGAATGTTCAAGGCCAGGTTGGACGGGGCTTTGAACAACCTGGTATTAGTAAAAGATATCCCTGCCCATGGCAGAGAGGTTGTACTAGATAATCTTTGAAGATCCCTTCCAACTAAAACCATTTTAGGCATGGGATTTTCCTTGGTTCTGTCCGGGCTTTGTCTCTTGAAGTGGGAGTCTGTGGGATCAGTACCTCTTCACAGGAATCCTGTGAAACAAGGGTTTCAAGGACAGAGCTTTCAATTTGCTTTCTTATCATGAGACTGATTGTTCAAAAGCACATATCCTTACCTTGTAATTTGGGGGTATAATGGGCCCATCTAAAATATTTTCAGTTAATACGAAGTCTGCTCAGACACCATGAATTGTGTTATTTGCCTGTATAAACACTAAAATATGTTGGCACTCTTTTGCTGGTTGGCTTGTCTGGAAAATCGTTGTGGGCTGTGTCTCAGCAAAAAGGGAAATGAAGTGAGAAAACAGCTTTGCATAGCTTAAAGACAATGAAATAAACAGTTGAGTTTGCTTGTTGCCAAAGTCATCCCATAGGTGGACAGACTTACAGAACAACATGGAGAGCCCTAGGGAGATGATTTTCATGAAGGCCTTGTGAAAATGGATGGTTTCTTTGGGTTTGTGCTCAGCTTGCTTTGGTTAGATAGATGCTGGAAGGGCATTCTCAGTCTTTTAAACCAGTAAAGAAAAAAGCTGTCATGAGAAAACTCTAGGGAAGCCTTTATTCCCTTGGGGAATTCAGAGACTTTTCAGCACAGGAAGGCTGAGCACTGACATAAGTGCTCAAGAGTGTAAAGGCTCCTGCAGGAGACAGTTCCAGCTGGTCCCAACATCCTGCCTGGGCTCAGGCTATTTATACCCCGCCTGCCTAAACTTCCTCTTGTACTTCTAATTGCCTCTTGTTTTGGAAGGGGGGAATGTAGAGAACTATTTCCACACTGGACTTGTTTACTGCCATAGGTAGGTTATTTTAGTGCTTCCTTCATATAGCATTCTGGAGTAAGTTAAATTGCATATGTACTCCAAGAACATCCCAAGTGACCGTGGCTGCTTCTGTGCTATGTCAGAGGTACCAAACACCAGCCCACAGGCAATCCTCTGGTTTTAAGGAGAGTAAATCTAGTTTCTTTAACAGTAGAAAGCCTGTGAAGCTTAATTGTAAAAGAAAATGAACAGAGTAATTAAAGGCAGTGGGATTTTTCGCATCAGTAACGCTGCTAGGGCTGCTCAGGTGAGTACTGACTGTAAAATCACATCCTGTTTGTAGCTTATAGGACTGTGAAGAAGAGGATGCAGCTGAAGCTGTCTGAATCTGCCTGGCAGCTCAGTCAGTCTCCTTGGGGGGGATCAAAAAAAACCAAAACCCACACTAAAAAAATATCGGAACAATTATTTTGGTTCGATAATAACTCTGAAACTTGTTACTGGGTGCAGTGCCTCTGTGTGTGTTTTACTTCAGGAGAAATCTCCAGTGACACTTAGCTGTTCTGTGCTCCTCACTAAGAGTAAGGAGAAGCTGGGGTGGGTTTTTGTGTGCTCTTAAAAACTGAATTGCCTCTTGAGGTGAGGTGGGGTATGGCTACTGAATATTCCTGCTTTGTTCCAGTGCAAAGTGTGTGTGGTCAGCAGGTTACTGCCAGCAGAGCTGTTCACTGCTTCTGTTCTGTGCTGGAGGAGGCAATTTTCAAGGTGATGGAAGATTAACACTTGGTAGTGCTGAAGTGCAATTGCAAAAGTGTATCTGGCAATGTACTGAGATTGGCTACTGGTTTGAAAGCTGAGCTCTGTCTTTAATCAGTAGAAAAAACTCTAATTGCAGTGGCTGTAATGAAGTAAGCACAGTAAGTTAAAACACCTAGTGGGAAAGCTCATTTGGTCTCATGGCAATGGTAACTTGCATCATTTCAACTCATGAAAAGCTGAGTATGTTCTGTAGCCTTATCAAAAATAAAACTTGCAAAGAATTGTTGTTAAGGAAGTTCTCTTTCATTCATATAGCCATTACCTAACCATCCCCCTGGAACAAAGCTCATTCATTTTCCCACTACAACAAAAACAGAAAACTCCTCAGAAGTAACAAAATCAGAAGCTGAAAGCAAACCAAAAGGTAAGGCTGATGGAAATTTATATCTATTGCATGGTAGTCTTCTCTAGAGAAGTATTTGGTTGTCAGTTTTTTTTCCTACGTGTGTTAACATCTTAAACCTTTGTGTAGACTGGGGTTTTTGTGAATGTTCTGTATGTTTGAGCAGTTATGCAAAAGCAAAAGAGTCTAAAGGGATTTTTAGTTGCATATCTGTAGAAAATAAACCAAAAACATTTTGAAGGGTTGTCTCTCAGAACAAAATAATCTGGGGTAGCAAGTTCTATTGCACTAATGCCTTTGCATTAATTCTCTATTTTGGCATGCTCAAACTGACTTATGTTCTGCCTACCTTTCAGTGGTCAGATGGGATGCTGGAAATCTATTGTTATGGAAGAGTCTCTCAACTCAATTTCTGTCCCTAGACTATAGAAGTTACTTTCTCAGCTCAGGATTTACTGTGGAGTTGGTAGTGTGCTGTCATAACTGTATATGAAGTTTCTTACGTCAGAAAGTTGGTGCTTATGTTTTTCTGAAGCTTGTTCCCTAGGTAATGCAATTCCATTGTAGTTCTGTTCATGATAACATCTTTTTTTATTTTTCTTTTTCATTATCTCTAAAAATTTATGACTTCATTTAACTACTAAACTACTTAGTTTTATCTAGAGAGAGATTTTTAAGCCAACGCAAAACGTCTTGTGGGAGTGCCAACCCCACATCAAAAATTAACCTCAATTATGTGATGTGTAGACAGCTTATTGTGCCTGATTCCTGAGCAGACTTTTCTTGAGTTCTGTATTGTAATTTCAAGTATATTTTCGTTTCATGTGGAAACACCTTATTTTGGTGTAAGTGGGTTGTTTTATATGGAATACATAATTTGCTGAAATAAGACAACTGTGGCAAACAATTGACTCTTTGCCTGTGCTCAGGAATGAGGTGATCTGACACAACAGGGCATTTGAAATGGTGAGTTTGTTAGAGCCCTGGTTTGTCTGTGAAAAAATAGCCATATTTTGGCTTTATTGAATTGGATAGCTGTAAATTGTGTTGCCACATTTAAAACCAGCTGATTACTGTCAAGAAGTGTTTGATGTAATGACCTGAGAGTCGTTAATGTTTAAGTTTTGCCATGGCCAAGCACACATCAAAAATTTGTGTGTGATGAAAATTTGATGGAAGTTCATGCTTGCAAATTTGAAATCTTTATGAAGCTTTAAAATTGGGATAGCTTTGGGATCTTCCTCTTAAACTATTCTAGTGCTATTGCTGGAAGAGCCAGCAAGACAATGTGCAGCCCTGAGCATTGTGAAATTTGACTTGCCTAAAACTCCACATAAAAATTAACCCAAGTCTGTCTAAAAAAATCTGAACATTCAGTATTTATCTGTTTTCATAATTTCAGGTGCTCCTCCTGCTAAAAGCATAGAAATTGGACTAATCCAGTAGCCATGCTGAGTCTCTGCTCCCCAGAGAAATGAATACGTCAGAGAGAGGAACTTAAATATGGTAGTAGTAGATGCTATAGGAGAACATCAGTAGCTAATACCTGTAGACACCATTTAAGAACATCTCATAACTTTTGGAAGAAAGCTTTGTTTTCTTCCTTAGTAGTTTTATTTTAATATAGACAGTATTATAGTTTATGTACATCATCCTCAGTTTGGAGAGAGCAAGTTTAAAATAAACTGTTCAATATGTTAGCAAGCAAACAGATCTCTAAAATGTTTAGACTAGTGTGGCTTATTTTGGTGTGGCTCTGCTGTTTCTGGGAAGCTTGTTTTGGCCTCTCCTGCAAGTATGTAAAAATATTTTGTTCAAAATAAATAATCACAAATTGACCCCTTTTTCCTCCCATTTTATTACACTACAACATCTGTGATTCCTGCTACTCTATTGTTAGTCCAGAATCTACAGGACAGATTCAGTTTTGAATTACCTTTTTTTTTTGAGAATGTTTACTGAAGTTCAGACTTACTTTTTTAGAAATACCATGCTAGTTTTAGGTGCTGGAAACTTAAACTGTACTCTTTCTTCATCCTAACTACTGGCTGAACTTCAGACTGACAAAATAAGATGCTGAAGTGGCAAATTGTCCATACTCCTTAACATCAGGAGCTGGGTTTCTTAGGTGGTGCTGACTGCTGAGGTTTGCACCTTGGCAGAGTGCTGGGCTCCATGGCTCCAGCCTTCTGGGCAGCTGAAGCAGAGTGAGTGGTCCTCTTTTGGGCACAATTTTCTGTCTGTTGTGGGACTTGGTGTGTGTGAGGAGGGGAAAAGCACTTGGAGGAGAAGAAATTGGGAGTCCCTGAATTTGAGAGAGATTTGTAGAGTACCTGTTGAATTTTTGGGCTTTTTTTTAGAGTTCATGAGGTTTTTGAACCTTGATTTAAACATTCAACTCTTTGACTATATTGTGGTGTGAAAATTTACAGGAATCTAACAATCTATAGCTGATTATTCTTGATTGCTAGAGAAGGCAGTAAAATAATGCAAGTTCTTCTTGTACCTAGCATTACTCCTGTGGTTCTTACCTATGTATATCCATATAAATGCAGAAATCTATCTCTTAAGCTTGGCATACTTTTGCATTTTAATATAGTGGTTGTCACTGGCAAAGGCAGATTTTTATTTAAGAATAGAATTTATGCATTTTTAACTAAAGGTTTCTATCTTGATTTAACAAAACATAATAACAAAAAAAAAAAGATTTAGTGGCAACTCCCTCATTTTATTATTTTTACTATCCACCAAAAGGGGGTCATTAAGACTGTCAGATGGTCCTAATGAAGAGTTGATGTTGTGCTGCTTAACTGAGAGTTGATGCAGCTTCTCTGGTACCTATGTGTGGTGCCAGTGCCAAACACCTGACAGGTTATGGCAGCACTGCAGAGTCCTTTCTGTTTGCTTCCTCACCCTTAATCTGTCAGATACAGAAATCCAGCCTGTTTATCTGCTAAATTATTTTAAATGTGCTGGGATTAAAAAAGGTGCAAAAAATGCTTTGCAATCAGAACTTCTATATTGATGTATTTTGGCCTCTCTCGTGTTGTTTTTGTTCTAGTGTGGGAGAGGAAAACAAATCCTCCTGCTTTTTCTCCTGATATCGTTATCACAATTTAAAATGGTTTAGTTATTGAACTGTGGCAAATGGAAAGAAAGGAATTATTCTTTCTACTTTTACAGAAGAAGCTGTGACTGTCTGAGTTGATCTCTTAGCTGAGCTCTGGTTTCAGCTGCTTAGCCAAGGAATTCCTTTGCTTCAGTTACTTATTTCACTGCACAATTTCAGCAAATGTGCTCCTTGAGTATTTGGAAATTTCTGTAATTGTGTTGATAAATTATGTCACCATGCAGCAATTTCATGTGTTCAATTAGGAATGAAACTTTGAAATTTAGATAAATTTAGAGACCGTAAAAATATAATGTAAACTCTCAGTAAGAAAACTTGGAACTAGTTTTGTGTAAAGCAGCTCAGAACTGAATATTTAAGCTGTGAAAATTTTAATTGAGTAGGCTCCTCTCTTTTCCTTCTGGGGTCAGAGAACCTGAATTAAGTTGCTCTTGTGGCTAAAAGTGGTTTAGAGCTTCAACTAGTGACTTCCCAAAGGTTTCTTTCCATCACTCCATAAAGATGTCATTCACATGACAAGAAAAATAAAATTATATCTTGAACATTTGTAAAGCAGTCTCAGGTGGTTGGTCTAGAAGGGAATTCTGATTGTAGTGTTAATTTCTGAGCTCTTTCAGACAGCCTAAGTGAGCTGGTATTATGTCTGTCACTACCCATGATATGCAAATGTGGTTAATTGTGCTGCTTTTGTTTCAGCCAAGGAATATTGCAGGACAGTATTTTCCTACGAAGGCTCAAATGATGAACTCAGCTTTAAAGAAGGAGAGATCATTCAAATAATAAGTAAGGTAAGATGTTTGGTCTGCTGTAACCACATACATGCCTTTTGTGGATTTTTCTTCAGGTAGGTGGTGTGTAACATGTGAAAGCAGGAGGGTCTATTGGAGTAGATATTCCTGTAGACTGATTTGCTTCATGGAAGGATCAGCTTTTTGCTTCTGCACTCAGTGGAGATACCAATGTCCTTAAAATCATTCCAGAGTGGGAAGTTATCTTTGAATCCTCAAAGGCCAGTCAGATCAGTACACACCCAGTATCAAATGCCTTTTCAGTGAGGAATTTGGAAAAGCTTTCAAATAGCCCCTCTACCTTCAGAACCTGTACTTTTTCTCTGGTGATGTATCAGGGTGCCCTAGAGGTGGTGGTTGGAAAGTATTAGGAGAAAAAAATGCTTTCAGTAGGAGAATACTTTGGTATTTCAGAGCAACCATACAGAAGTTAATGATACTGTCTGGCTAGTCAGAGAAATGTGATGATTTAGTTGAATGTTCCTATTTGTTGACTATTGGAAACATCTTTTTTGAAAGGTCATTTTGTTGCAGAGATAGATTTAAAGAAGAAATGAACATACCCATATTTAATTTCCCTGATTAGTTTTTATTAAGGAGTAACAACTTGTGTAAAAATAGAAGTGGAAAGCTGCTTTTTTGTGCGTGTTCAGCTTTCACACAGTTGTGGAAGAAAAGTACTTTTCTGAGGAGGATTTTAAGTTTATGGAAATGATGTCAACTTTGCTTAACAAAAAAAAAATGGATATCAGTATTATTGACTGTAATTACAGTGGAAAAGAGTAGCTATGGAAAGGACTTTTCTAAATGTGACAGCCCTTGCCCCCTCTTTGCTGAATCTCTTTCCTGCCTCTCTCCTTTTAAAACCAATTTACCCAAAGCATATGCTGGTCTAAACTGAAGTGAAGAAGCATTATACAGAGCAGAGCTCTGTCTCCAAAAGCAGCTTCTGCAGCCTGAGTATATTAAATTAACTTCCAGGTGACTACCTCAGTTCAGGGTTTTGATCCTCCCAAGTGTTCAGGTACTTTTCTTTTAGTAAGTAGGTACTGTGTAAAGCTTGTCCCCCTTGACCACTTCTGTTCTGCTTGTTCTGCATATGGCAGTTTTCCATGGAGCTGCCTGACTTGCTAGCATGCCTCAGCACTGCCTAAATAAGTTTAGCAATAAGTGCCTTATCCTCTTCACAACAGCACACTGTTCAGAAATTGGACTTTGTAGAACTAGAATGAAAGGGTGACAGAGAAATGAAAGAAAACTTCAGCAAACTTTTGCTTTCAGCACTAATCACCTATTTGTGTCTTTCCTGCCAATTCCTCCTTTAGTTTAATATGAGGTAGAATTTTTTTAAAAAATAATTTCATATTTTATTTTTTGCCCCCCTCCTTTATCTGTTCGTTGACTGAGCTGAACTCAGTGTTGAATTGTCCTTGTTGTGGACTGAACTTTGTGGTGAATCACTTGGTGATGCTAATAGTGGCATGTAATAGTAGTAGTGCACTTGGACTTGTGTGCAGGAGTGGCCTCTGCAGTATTTTGGACCTGAGTTGCAGAGGAAAGCTGTTACTGTTGCTGCTAAAATATTCAAATAACATCATATTTTCCCTTACAGACAAACTAAGGCCTTGATCTGTTAAGATCATGGAGTGGATTTCTGTGCTACTGAACTGAGTCTTTTTTTTTCTAACTTTAATATGGTTATTTTTCCCTCAGTAGTGTGTATCCTCTTGATCTTCACCTTTTCAGACCAGTGGACCTGATCCTTAATGTCAGAACCTCTTCCATAGTAGACTTGTTTTACTCCAATAGTACTTGAAGCACTTACTGAATAAGTTGCTGGTCAAGGAAGTTGAGAATATTAAATATTGTGCATTGGGTCATAACTGGGTTTATGTACTTCCCTTCCCTTTGCAGATCTTATCCTTATCTTAGATAGGATGGAAGATCATTGTGTCAAACAAAAAGTGACCAAACCTGCTCTGATTTGTAGCTGTTTCCTGTTGCTAAGGTGGCCAAAGTATTCCTCTTATAAAGGTGATAGTTCAGACAAACCATTATTTGATGTTGTGAGTAAAAGAAAAATACTGTTCCTGTAACTCTATCTGTTCTGGGGAAGAAATAAATATTGGTTGAAATGTCCTGTTGTTTGTTTTAGGACACTGGAGAGCCAGGCTGGTGGAAAGGAGAGCTCAATGGTAAAGAAGGAGTCTTCCCAGATAATTTTGCTATTCAAATACAAGAGTCTGATAAAGACTTCCCTGTAAGTTCTTCCATGTCTTGTTCAGTAACACTGAAGGTATTGATGGAGGTGGAAAGAATAAAAAGCTTCACAGCACATTGCACTGCTTAAAATATTCTTACAGTTGTGTCAGTGTTTAACTGTATCTTGAATTAGGTATATTGAAGAACAAAGATTTAAAGGTTAATATTTGTGTTTAATTTTCTCCTTTAATATTAAATTGAGGCATGATTTTTCAGGTTAACTGTAGTGAGGATGATTAGGTCATACAGGAAAGGGTATAGTTCTGATAACATGGGGTTGTGTGTAAGTGATTACTGAATTAAACCCTTACTGTTTTGAAAGGAGATAAGCAGTTGGGCTCTTCCATTTGTAGTCCTGTAAGTCACTATCATTGCAAAATGCTGAATTACCTCTCTGGGACCAGCTGAGCTTTTTCCATGTTAAGACTTGCCAGTGGGTTGCAGTGTGTGAAGGATGAACTTTGGGTGGGATCTACAAATATTTTTCTCACCATCGAATATCTTTTCTTGTAAAATCCAAGTTTTCATGTGATATTCCTTGGTCTTGTCAGTTTTGTTCTTATTTTATAATTTTTTTCTTGTTGAGATCAGTGTGATGTTTAGTCTCTGACAAGTCTGTTTAGCAAAGGTGGTTGTGTTAATTCACAGGCATGCATCATCCATAGATGGAGTGGATTCAGCTCCAGATCAAGGGCATCTAAATGTTGAGGCCTTATCTCAGCAGAATGGAGTTTCAGTTTCATAGTAATTGAGTACTGTTTGGTCTGGAATTGGAGACATGCTCAGAGGATTGCTAGATACAACCTGGCAGAGAGTTTCTGACTTTGCATTTAGCCTCAGTTACACAACACAGGCAGAAAGTCTAGTTGCTCCAAGTTGCTGTTTTCTTTTCAAATAGATTTTCAGCTTTGCAAGCATGGCATAAAGGCTGTAATATATGGCTGGCTTGATTTGAGGGGTTTGCTTTGATCCTTTATTCTGCTTTGTGTAGTGTGGCTCACTACAGGGATTCACCTTGCACTGAGCAGCTTTGAAGTTCAAGGCATTGGGTGGCTGATTATTGTAATCAGCTATTTGATATCGACTTCACCAAGGACACAGATCAGAACTGGATAGTGGCAGGTTGATGCTGGACTCTCAGTGTAATTGGTTTTGATAGAGGCAGCAGTGCTGCACAGCTGGGCAATGTCTTTGCTTTTTTTGGGGAAAGAAAGACAACACAGGCTTGTTACTTAAGTTCACTAGCTTTTGTGTTCTTTGAAACAAGAGAAAGAAATTTGATACGAATTTTCTTGCTTAATTACATTTCACTTGTGAGAATAAAATCCTTCTGCATTAAGAAGAGCTTTTCAGTAGCTGTAGGGGCACAGAAGTGAAATCCATCCGTAGCAACTGCTTCAATGATACATATTATGAAGCATTTTGGTTTCAGCAGTGTTTGTATAAAGAACTACTGTTTATATAGGCTTTTGTGATCCCTTTAGCAGTGAGTCTTGTCCTTTGTGCAACCACAAAGACACCTCTTCTGGAGCATTTTCATGAATGGGATTCTCAGGATGAGGTGGCCTGAGATGTCTGTCCTGAGAGGTGCCAGTACTACTTCAGCAATTCACGTTCAGGTTTCCCAGTTGAAGGGATGAGTGACTGTGTTTTAAATAGAGTTATTTTCAATATACAAACTGTGGCACCGTAATACTTGGTGAATTTTTAATGACTGGAGTAGTTTGCCCACCTTTCTCACTTGAATATATGAATGTAAGAAACCTCAAAATGTTTTTCATGTAATAACAGTGTTGCAAACACTTATTTTTCCTTACACTGTTCTCATTTAGAAGTCAATTAATTGAAATATTTCTTCTAATACTTAATTTAGAACTTTTATTCTCAGTGAAAGTGACCATTTTTCATTCAGAAACCTACCTGAATACTCTTTTAAACTTGCATTGTACAAATAAAATGGAAGTTTACATATGGAAATAAAAATGAGTGGGATCAGACCGATTCTTTGGACTAGAAAAGATGTAATTCTCAGTTTTGAGTTCCTTCTACCTCTGCTGCTTATGCACGTTGCTGAAGCATGGATCTGATTTGAAGAAACCTGCATTTTGTTCCTGTGTTTGCAACTAGCTATTTGGGAGATACCAGAGGAATTATTCCAGTTCTTGTGTTTTCTGTCTGTGACTTGATTGTCTCCTTTGTGAAATACTATGAAATAGCTGGTAAAGAAGTTAGACATTACAGCATGCAAAACAAAGCACACATAAGTCTGCTTTCCATGGACAAAATCTGTTTGTGTGTTTATTTGACTTTATTTATGTTTTTTATTTTGCAGAAGCCAAAGAAACCTCCACCTCCAGCTAAAAGTCCAGGTGCGTAGTCTATGTATGAACACACAATTTCAGAAGCAGTGCATGGCTTCAAAAGAAAATTGGGAAGTAGTTTTGCCTTTCCTAGTAATGCAGCCACCAATAGTTGCAGTTTGAGGTTACTTTTTCTGCTGTATGTGTTTTGCTGGGGCTATATATTTTTCAAAATTATGATGGAGCCAACTTTGGAAACACTTTAATAGAGGCCTACTGTTTTGTGGGCTCAACTGAGTGTTTATAAATGGTATTGCACTCCTTGCAAAGGAGAAAATATAAACACAAACTGGTGTATGTTGTATTTTTAGTTAGTGACTGAGACAATTAAAGCTCTTTGAGAGATGTCTATGGTGTGTTTTTTGCATTCAGCTCCAAAGCCTGAATTGTCAACTGGAGAGAAGAAATTCCCTTCTTTGAGGCCTGAAGAAAAAGGTAAGAGCAGGTTTTCTTCATAGTTTATTTCAGACTGTGCTCTTGAAAATGAGTTAGAATATTTAGCTTGGCTGCCCTGTGCAGTGGTACCTGTTTGGAAGACATCTTACAGTTTCCTCTTGATACTATCTATGAAGCTGACATGTCTGTCATGTTCTGGAAATGACTTGAGTGATTAGAAGAACTACACTTCTGTGAAACAAGCCTTACCTTCTGAAAAATATGGATTGCACTGCATAAAAACATAGTTACTATTGCATTCACTTTAGTTCTGTGATAGTGACTGCAGTTTTGAATAGCAATAGTGAGTGATCAGGAATGAAAACTTTTGTTGCTATTTATGAATGTTTTGGCCAAAATCAGTCTGTGATCGAAAACATTTTTGCAGGCAATAGAAGAGTTACAACACTCCTTAGGCAGATATTACAGTCAGACTGCTCAGAAATTGAGACTTCTTGTCCTGTCAGTTCCACATTTTCCAGTTCCACAGGATTTTGAGATGTTTGTGCTTAAAATTTAAAGGACACTTTTTTTTTAATTCTGGAAGAAAAGCTACTGTTCTCACCCAAACATTTCTAAAAGGCTAAATGCTTTTTTTTCTTTTTAATATTTGAAAAACTTGCCAAGTCAAACTGTCAAACTCTTCATTGTGTTTAAACGTCAGAAACTTGAACAGACATGCTGCTGGGTCTTAAGAAATTCTGATGCTGTATCTTTACTACTCACAGAACATAGGATGGTTTTGTAATGTGGTTAACCATGGCTAAACAGAAATTGGACAAATAAGCCTGCTCAGTGTGTTTCTTGGTTTCCTTGGGCATCTTTATAAGCCACATTTTAAATAAAGTACATTCTCAGGTATTTCATAGGAAGAATACTTGTTAAAATCAGGTATGTTTCCTCTGCATGTGAGCAAACAAATTATTTCTAACCATTGGAACAGTATCTTCAGGTGTGACTTGAGATCCAACTGTATGATTCTAGAAATTCTCATCACTTGACTCCTTATAAATTTATTTAAGATGAAGTGTATTTTAGACTGGTTCCATTCCTACTAGGGTGTTAACTTTTCCCTAGTTGAGCCAAACTGTTTGTGGAGGAATCTGGGAGAAAAATACTGGGTGATACCAACCAAAATACTGAGGGACATGAAAGCTTCTGAAAAACTGAGTAAAGAACAGAACTGTCCTTTACTGTGGTACAGGAGATGATAGAGGAAACGTTCAACTGAATACAAGACAAACATCAGATCTTAAAAGTTACTATTTAGGTAAGAGTAATGTTTCTCTTCAAGAAATGTCCATTTATCAGTGTAGTTTTACTTGTGGTAAAAAAACCCTGTGTTTAAAATTGTGAAGAATGAAAATGTATTGTGATGTAAGAAAAAAAGAGCAGCTCTAACCACAAACTATCAAACCATGTGATTTTTTTATGCCTGTTGGCAGACTAATACAACTGCCTTTAACTGCCATTTAATTTTTAACCAATCAAAAATAGATTAGAAATTAAAAGCAACACTCCCTGTAAGTATTTCTGTATTTAAATGAAGGACACTTAGTGTATCATGTCGAAATTTTTATCCAGTGTAAATATCTTGAGGTTAGTGTTTGTATTTTCATTCCTAAGTGGCTAATTTTTAGCCAACCCTTATCTTTTCCACTGGGGAGCAGAATCCCCAGCAGAGGCATGCCATTTTGTCCAGCAGAATTTTACAGTTTCTGTGCTCCTGGTGAATCTTGACCTTTGGTATTAACTATTTTCTACTTGGCTGTGGATGGTTTTTATCTTCAGATTTTGAGTGGGAGCAATAGGAGGGAAAACTGACATAATTCAGGAGTCCAGTTTGATGACAGCAGGTTTTTTTTGCTGCCCTGTGTATCCAACTCACTTATTCTTCAAAACAAAAGGTGTATTTCTCGACTTGTGTCCAGTGTAGCTGAAATAAAGCAAATGCTTCTCCAGTAATACTGACTGCTCTGGGGCATGTCAAATTTAACTCTTTCTGGTGGGATCCCTAGGCAGAGGTGACCTGTGCTGTTACCAGGCTGGCTTCTACAGGACACTCAGCACCACCATGTGGCAAACTCCTTCCACTGCCTCAGGATGTTAATTAATTAACTCGGTACTAAGAGAGGCTGGAAGGCATCACCAACCACTTTAGGCTTTTTTTGCTCATATCTCCTCCTAATGTGTAAGCATCCCAAAGCAGGGAGATGCTTCTGCCCTGGCTAATGCTTTCTGCAGAAGTATCTCTATGATCTGTGTACTGGGGAGTATTCCTGTGAATGAAAAATTGGAGTTTCCCTGCTTGCAGTTGAAGGGCTGATGCTCAACAGCTGCAGGACTTGCCCAAAGGAAATCAGTCGTGGCCCTGGCAGTTCAGACACTCAGCTGGGGAGGAGCTGAAGGGAATTTCCAACCCTACCCACAGATCCATAGTGCATCTAAATATTTTACTTTAAACCAATACTTGGTTAAAAGCAAAGGAGGGGAGTGGGGAGAGTTAAAGCTAAAGGTCTGTCTCTCCATCCCAGTTTATTGATTTACAGCCCTATAAGGGCAGCAACTGTAAAGTAATATAACTCTGCACTCTGACCTAATAATAATGCACCAAATCCTCAGTACTGCCTGCATGCCTGGCACAGTTTTACAAGGAAAAATAGAAAATATATTCTGGATATCCCAGAGGATGTGATTAGGGAACATAACATGGGTTGAGGACTATACAACTAACATTTGTGAAGCAGCTTGGATTTTTCAGTGTCCCATATGTTACACATCAGCTCCTCTGGAGGGTATTCAATGAGGTCCTACAGTCATTGAACAATAAACTAACTTTTTTGTTTGATTATCCATGCTTTATTGTATCTTCAATTTGTAGGAAGGTAGATTTTATCAAAAATAAATTCAGTTATTCAGATAAATATTCTTTTTTCCCTTTTTTTCCCCTAGATAAATTATATTGCTTGTGTGTATGGAGGAAGTCTAGTTCCAACAAAATAAAAAAATATTAAGAGGAGATAAGGTGAATTCATAGAAAAGAGAAATCAGTAGCAGTACAGAGAGATTATGGGTTCTTAGCTGTCATTTGCAGTTCAATAATGTAAGAATTGCATTGCAGTTCAATAATGTAAGAATTGCATTACAGATTCACTACTGTTCCATGTCAGTAGAAAGATATTCTTGCTTAATTTAACATAATAGTTTTTAAGTTCAGGTAAGTAGTTGGAGTGTTTTGATAAGGTATGACTTCAGACACTTGCATATCTATTTTTCACTTTTATCTGATCTTCAAAGAAAATATTTCTGAACAGCAGTTGTTTGCTAATTGATTAGCATTGTAAGAATTCTAGACAACGTGGCTTTTTAAAATGTTGTGACAACTTATTTTGTCAGATGAAAAAGGAGCTTTGGATCAGAAGCCTTTGAAGCCACAAGCTCCTCAAGTACCACCCAAGAAGCCTATTCCTCCAAGCAAGACTAACAGCTTACTGAGAGCAGGGCTTCTGCACCCAAAGCGTCCAGATAAACCTGGTTTGCCATCATCTGTATCCAAGTCAGTATAACTTAAACAGACACACCATATATATTGGATTTGATTTGTTGTCCTTTGTGGATGAGATGGGAAGAAACATGTTTTATGGGTGGAAAGGATGCAAGGAGAAGTTTTGCTCTATACCTACCAGTATCTTGATTCTCCAAGTCTTTTTCAATTTGAGTTTACAACTTTCTAATTCTTTGAGGCATTGAATCCATCTCAGAGTAAATATTACAGCATAAGGAAGCATGGAGCAGATGAATGTACAAATCTGTCTGGCCACCTTGCCTTAAGCCTGCCTCATAATGAAGAAGTTGGAGCTACAGCAGCAGTAATATGCTGTGAAAGAACCTGTGGACATGGCACTTGCAAATTATTATTGTGCTGGGAAAAAAACCTGAAGATTTCAGCTGCATCAATGTTTCAGTATTTTACATAAAACAAGATAGATGGAAGGGAAGAGCTGAACACAATTAGTGCCTCTGCTAAAAGTTCTCAGTGTTCATGTGCTCTTCTAGGGAAAAAAATCACATTTTACAAAACCACATCCAGTGCCTGAGTATTCTCAGTGGTGTTACTGGACAAGTAGGGAGGGTAATAGAAAGTAAATCGATCACTGTTTCCTATAGATCCACTTTTAACTTTTTTTTCTCATGTGTTTGAAACATTTATGGTGCTTCACTCTGCCTAATTTTGCATCAGTACAGTCCCTGCCCCCAGTTTCCCTTTCTGTCTCCATCAAAATATTTGCTACATCCTTACCCAAAACTGTAAATGAACTGCTGCCCCTTAGGGATGTTTAATTGACTTCAAAGAACTGTGAGAAAGGTCATGATGCACTTGGCCATGCACAACTTAAAGGAGCAGACAGCTTCTGCATCAAAGAGCTTGCACCTTAAATGCCTGCAAAGATACAGGCTGGCAGCAAGCAGCTGTTGAGGTTTAGCTTTTTGTAGAGCCAGGTCCTTTATAGCTGAGCCAAAAGGAAGAATATCTGAAGGGAAAAAGAGTGTGGTGGGGAAGGGGAGTGTGGGTAAGACACACTCTGAGTGGCTGACTCCAGTGGGGATCAGCTGCCCCTGATCCCACCCTGCACAGCACTGGGAACATCCTGTGCCTGGCTGAACAGTGAGACCATTGCCACATGATTCCTGCAGAGCTTTTGTATTTGTTTAGACTGGGTCTTAGGAATTTCTTCAGTATGAGGGTGGTGAGACTCTGGACCAGATTGCCCAGAGAGGGTGTGGATGCCCCTCCCTGGAGGGGTTCAAGGCCAGGCCGGGCATGAGCAACCTGGTCTAGGTGAGAGGTGTCCCTGCCCATGGCAGGGAGGTAGGATCAGATGATCTCTAGGGTCCCTTATGAAACATAGGTTTTACACTGTGTAATTATGTTATATCACTTGGTATTTTGGAGAGTTTCCCAAATAAAGATTTCATTTTTAACTTTTTTAACCAACAAGTCATGTTCTCCCTTTTAGAAAATAACTGTGGCTGTGAAGGAATACACGAGTGCAGTTAGAAGTAGAGGTCTGTGGTAAACTGCAGGCCTTTAATAACTGAAAACTTTAAATCTTAGGGGCATTTATGTAGTTTTTTTTAAAATTAAATTTTAACATTGTCCTAGGATTATAGGGCTGCTGTCTCTTTTTCTACTGCAATACAACTTCAAAATGCAGGATCTGGGAGGTGAGTTCATTCCAGGGAGACATTGACACTGACAACTGGTCCATTTATATAGTTTGTACATGGCATGTACAGGACAATCAGGTGATCAGGCCCAGTCAGCATAGATTTATTCAGGCAGGTCCTGCCTGAATAACCTGGTCCCTTCTATGACCAGGTGACTCACTCAGTGGATCAAGGGAAGGCTGTGAATGTTGTCTACATAGACTTCAGTACAGCTCCTGGCACTTTCTCACAGCATTCTCCTGGGGAAACTGGCTGCTCATGGCTCAGCCAGGTCCAAAGAGTGGTGGGGAATGGAGTGAAATCCAGCTGGCAGCCAGTCACAAGTGGTGTTCCCAGGGCTCAGTACTGGGGCCTGTTCTCTTTAGTGCCTTTATCAATGATCTGCATGAGGGGATCAAAGGCACCCTCAGTAAGCTTGCAGACAACACCAAGTTAGGCAGGTGTATTGATCTGCTTGAGGCTAGAGAGGCTCTACAGAGGGACCTGGACAGGCTGGATGGATGGGCCAAGGCCAGTGGGATGAGGTTCAACAAGGCCAAGTGCTGGGTCTTGCACTTGGGCCACAACAACCCCATGCAAGCTCTAGGCCTGGGGAAGAGTGGCTGGAGAGCTGCCTGGCAGAAAGGGACCTGGACACCTTGGTTGACAGTCAGCTGAGTATGAGCCAGCATGTGTCCAAGAGGGACAAGTTGTGCCAGGTGCTCAGAGGAAGTTTAGGTTGGATGTTAGGAAATATTTCTTCCCCCAAAAGGCTGTCAAACCCTGGAACAGTCAGCTCAGAGAAGTGGAGTCCCTATCCCTGGAGGTATTTAAAAGCTGTGTAGGTGCAGCACTGAGGGACATGGTTTAGTGGTGGCCTTGGCAGTGCTGGGTTAATGGTTCTACTCACTGATGTTAAAGATCTTTTCCAACCTAAATTATTCTGTGATTGTATTTTTATTCTGTGACATAAGTGATGGCAAGAATTGTAAGGGAAAATGTCATCTGTTGGTTTTTGGTTCTTCTGGTTTTGGTTTTGGGGTTTTTGTCGTCCTTGGCTGCTAGGACCAGACATGCAAAGAATGTGTAGTAGAATAAAAACCATATATACAAGGTACTTTCCCAGAAAGAAATAACTTTTACTGAAGGTGTTCTTCAACTCTCTTGTTTCCAGTTGCACTGAAGTGTAATATTTTAGATTTAAGTGCCAAAACGTAAAAAGAATCCAAAACTTTTACTACAGGACACAGGGGGATTGTACATGTTTAGCAGCTCTGCAAGAGCTGAAACAGAAGATTTGGCTTTTATAAGACTATAATTGTTCTCCAAAAGACTTGATTTTAAACAAGGCTGTAGAAAATTATAAAATCTACTGATTTTTTTTTTCAGTTTACTTCTATTTCTTAATATGTTTCATTTGTAAACTGTTTAATCTCTTGACTGTGTGTTTTGTTGGGTTTCTTACTTACTACAGATCTAATGGAGAAGTTGTTTCTCTTCGACCGAAATCTGAAGTTGAGCCAGTAGCAAAACCAAAGTTAGACTCTGAACCATTACCCCTTAGACCAAAATCAGTAGAGGTAGATTCACTTGTGGTGAAGAGCTCTAAAGAATCAGGTAAGAGAACAACAAAATATTCTTCTGGGTCTTTCTGTTTGTATTGCAGTATTTCACAAAGTTAGAAAAAGCCTTTTAAGTAATTTATTCAAAATGCCACAGAGTCAGTTATGCCTATTCAGTAGAAAGTGTGTGTGTACATATATATATATATTTTTAATTAATTTTCTTTTTAGAATGGCTGTAGGTAGCTGCAGGTAAGAGTCAGCAAGTGATGAAGAGATGTCAGGAGGCTGCTTGGAGGTAGTTGATGAGCTCTTGTGTTGTAACACATGACAGGAAGGGAGAAATGTAGCTAATGATTTAGTCATCTAATCTGAAAGCATTTTTTTTTTGCTGCCACTTTTGTGTTTTTTTTATGAAATTGTTTTCCTTACTGACTGGTTCTGTTGGTTCTGCTCTTGCATTTCAGGTAACTTTTGCTTTTCTAGCTTAACTTGTTTATTTTTAGTAATGCCATTACCTTCAGCATTCTGTGATTAAGTTCATAGCTATTCTAGATTATGACTTTATCATACCTGAAATTTGGGCCAGCATGGAGCATTGTATGTTAGCATTTCATGTTTATGGCTTTGCTTAGTGCACATTGAGGCAAACTTGGCATCTCTTTGAATCTAAATTTGTCCAGTAAACCCCTTGATACTGGTTAAAGCACCCACATTGATTATCAGGCTCTCTGAGCTATTTTATAGTTACTTTTAGTCCTTTTCTGACAGTGCAACTGATTCCAGTCCTCTGTGTGCCTCTTACAAGCCATCTGCTGTGAGCATATTTTCTTTTAAACTCTAAATTATTTTTATTGTATGATTACTCACTGCAGTAAAAGCTTTGGTCAATTGTACCTGCAGTGTTTGGCTTGCATAACTCAAGTACAGCCTTTCATCTCAGAAAACATTTTAATAATACATTTTGAAGTAGTATAACTTGCCTTTTTTTTTTTTTTTAGGCCAATTATGATATTCAGGTTGTAGAGTAATTGCTTCTGAAGTGTCATAAATTCATATGAGGGAGAAAAATAATGCATTCAAAAGGTGAAGTAGTTGATGGAAAGAAAAGGGCACTTCTGATTTTTCCATAAAGCATTTAAAATGTTCTTCTAAGCCTCAGTGCTTTGTATGAAGAAAAGTTAGTTCATGTCTTTTTAGTACAGAAGATACATTTTTCTGAGCCACACAAAGCTGGACTTCAAGTATTCTGGAAATACTACAAATATTGTCAGTATCACCTCAAATTATTCCTAAGTTTGGGTTTGTTTTTTTTTAATTCTTTTTTTTTATTCCCCAGTAAAATCTATGCATATGCTGTGAGATGCCTTCTTTTAAAGGTTTTCATTTGGCAGTTTGTTGCCTCTGTTTAAAGGTGAATTTTGAGTGAGAGTACAGAAGAAACTTTCAGGTCAAAGTAAGCAGAAAGGTGAAAAAAAAGATGCACAACCTAGCCTTAAAAACATAAGCCTTGTCCTACTACCCATAAGTTTTTCTCTGTGATTGTGCTAGGTGTGTGATTGATACAGCATAGTAGGATTTTATCCTCCAAAAACAGGTGGAATGTCTTTTTTTCTTTAGGTGCAATTATCTTGACATCCTTGATAACCAGAGTGGCAACGTAGTACCTGTGATATTAGGTATTCACATATATATAAAAAACCTCATTTTATTCAGATTTAGAAAAAAAAATTTCTATGAATCCTGATTTGATAACATAAGACTGATGGAGAAATGAAAGATTTTAATACCTAGGTGGGGCAGGGGACCAGGGTGTCTAACAAATGAGTGAGGTCTGTTCAGTGGTCCTTGTTGGTGCAGAGCAAGCCAAGGATGGATGCTCAGGCAGTCCATGCAGGGATGCAGCACTGGCTGCCAGGGAGCTGCTGTTTGGGGCAAGTTTCAAAAATCCTGTTCTGTAGAACTGCCCTTGTTTTCAAACAAGCTGTGTAAGCCACTTGGAGTCTTGCTACTCTTGTCAAAAAGCATTCCAAACTCCTGCCAGCAAAAGGTGGTGAATCTCCAGCATTGTGCTGCTAAAGACACCATGCTCCCTGCAGCAGTTCAGTAAAGCTCCAGAGCTGTTGGGTCCTTATGTTCAGCTCAAGATTATTTGGTCTTGTAAGAAGTAGAATAGATACTAAAACATTGTACCCATAGTACCTATGTATGGGTTGTTGTATGGCTGGCATTGGCAACTATGTCTCCTCCCCCACCTTTTCTTTCCCCTCCTGAGACTGACCTCCTGAAGTGAATGGAATTTTACAAAAAACCAATGTCTTAAAGAATGCATCTAAGTTTTCTGCAACTCTGTTTGACCAGGAAGTGAGGTGTAGGTTGAGCCACTTTCAATTTTGCTTAAGGAGAAGCTGTAAATATTCTGTATCTGTAGGATAGTTACCAAAATTAGGTCCCCAGGCATCTGATAAGGAGAAATAATCAGTGTTTCTGAACAGCTTTGAGTATGTTGAAATATCTCCTCTTGAAGCTTTATTTGAAAAATTGCATAAATGTTTCTCTGTTCAGTTAGAATGAAAGGGCTGTGAAAGACTAAAGCTATAATACTGGCATGCTGAACGTGTAAAGCAATTCTGTTTCTTCTACAAATGTTTCTTTTTCCTGCTTTGTAAAATAATTTTTTTTGTTCAGAATCTTTTTCTAGACATTCCTCTCCTTGACTTTTCTTTCCAGATTTTGTTTCCTATCCTGTTTGCCATGTTTCCCTTCTTACGTGTCAGGAAATTACCCTACCCTTCTCCATTTTGGTAAGATAACACTCTATAAGGAAATCCAAATGCTTGATGCCATGCACAGAGCCTCTTCTTAACTTCATAATTTTCAGTTGCAGTTATTGATACTAAAATTTTTGGCTTTCAATTAAAAATGTTTTTTTTTTGTTTGTTTGAATGTCTCTTTTCCTTAGCAGTTCAATTATTTTATACTTTTCAATTAGGAACTTGAGAGGATTAAAAAACCCTAAAATTAAGAAAAACTTTACAGTCCAGCTGTGATAATGTGTTCTATACATATAGCATTTCTGGTGTATGTAGGTTAAATGGCTTTATCTTTCTGTACACACAAATTAAACAATAATGAATCTGAATTAGTGAATCCACCAGTGTTGTCTATTTAGTACCATGAGTCCTGTAAAATAGTATTTATGTATTAGGCATGTGCTTAATTGTAACCAATACCTCACTGTTGCTCTATTGCCACTTTAAATATTCTAAAGTTTATATCTGTTCCCTAAATTTTTGGGGTGCAATGTCAGCAAGATGGGTAATAGGAAGAAGGACTGCCATTTCTTTTGCTCCAGGGCTTCATGTGAGGTCTTGTCTTCTAAAATATGTCACCTAATACATTTCACTTCTGTCATGGGCTTTTAAACCCCAGCCATATAAGGTGTTGGAACCATAATTTCTTTAGACACCTCTTCAGCTCTCCTTTTTGTGAAGGCTTTTTAAGACAAACTGCTATCAAGACACTTGCAGTGTTCACAAGTCTTAACAAAACTCCTCAGCTAATTGTAGCTGTTAAAGCTCCTAACAGCTCTGTTGTGGACCCACACTAAGCTTGCAGAAGAGATGTTTCTAATAGTCAGTCCTAAGTAACTGTTTAAGCTTAGCTCACCTTCCTAGAAAGAAAGGAGCTCCTACTCAGCCTTAAAATAATTTTTCTCTCAAATTATCCCCAGATGGATGGTATTTTCATTTGACGCTATGATGGGATTTCATTTAGCAATTACTCAGGCTGTCTCTAAAGAAGTTAATAAATAAATTGATTTATTGGGTGTAAATTGTGAACTCTCAGTGGGTTTCATCAGTGTCTGTTGGCTTCAGTGGGACCAAGCTTTCTCCTGAAATAACTGAGAATGCTCTTTAAAAAGAACAAAACGTCCAAACAAAACTCCAAACCCCATAATGAAACAAACCAACCCACCACCCTCAGTGTCATACCACCATCTGTATTTAAATCATATAAAATTCAAGGCTGTAGTAGTCTTGATCTTAAATCCTTGCCAAATACTGTGATTTTATTTTTTGAGGAGTACACATTATTCTTGGTAGGTTCCTCATAATCTTCATATGCCTGATGTTGACTTTGTTCATGGAGGCAGGGCTGGTGTTACAATCATAATAGCAACTCAATTTACAGTTCTTATTTAAATTTACTTCAAAATGATTTGTCATTCCTGCAGAATGACAAAAGGTGGATGGTTTAAAGGCAAAAATTACTGAGATTGGAGAAAAGGTGCTTTTTTTTTTTCTGCCTTCTTGTTATCTCTATAATAATATTTTACTGCTGTAAATTCTGATTTATATTTTGGCATGGGTTAGTACTCTGAGATTACTGATGACTGAGTAAAGAACATGAAGATAAACCTTTTGGTCACTGTTGCTTGACTTCTAATAAGTTAAATATTTTATTGGCACAGACTACAACAGAAACACCTTCATAATTATTTATTTCTCCCTTGTACCCTTTCCCATCAGCTGCTTGCCATTCATCACTCTTCTGTTCCTTCCTTCTTTGTTTTTCTTCCCTGCTTTTTTTAATTGCAAACAGGATTACATGTTTACAGAAGACTGTCTTTATCTTCAATAAAATTAAAAAGCAGCAAAATCCATTGGTAACAGTGTTATAAATGCTTCCATTTCAACAAGGCAAGAGATGGTGAAGTAGATACACTTAGGGATGTCCAAAAGATGTGAATATTTAAAGGACTTTAAGGATAATAACACAGAATAGAAGACATTAAAATCCATTAAAGCTGTCTGTGGAAAACTTAGTTCCTACAGGTATAAATTAATTTTGACAATGTGTGAGTAGAACTTAGATTAATCTGGTGATTTTAAGTCATCCAAAGACTGAAGTGGTATGAATGGACTTATCTTATCTGACCTCTTGCTATAACTTCAGAATTAATTGATAAAATAGGAAAAGAAGCATCGTAGTTTGTTTGATAAATCATAGTGTCAATTAAAAATCAGACATGGCAAAAAAAAACCAACCCAAAACCTTGAATGTTACTTTTGGTGCCCATAGTAAGTGCTGTGTGGCATTTTAGTTAAACATTTAGAGTCTCTAGAATAAGTCCAACAAATTTGTGTTGTAAAATGAATATAATATCCCTAATCTTATGTCGATGATTAAATAAAAAAGCAATCTCATTACACATCTGATGGCAGGTAAGTAATCATATTTTTGTGGAGAAATGGTTAAGAAGTTGAGCTGTTCACTAGATGAAGTAGTGAGGTTATTAGATTAGGTGTGTTCCATTCTTCCTGTTAATAGTTTTTTTTCCTCAGCTTGCCTCTTCCCATAGGACATAAAGAATTTCTACTGATATAAGAGAGTTTATCTAGAGATGTTAGCATAAAGAGACTGATGAGTTAAGAGATCTATATAATATCTTTTAATAACACATTGAAATGTTTTATTACAGACTTTATGAAGTCGTATGTCTTCTTTAGACAGTGTAATGCATATGAATAAATTACCCTGCACAGAAATATTGGCAGCTAGACAGTGTAATGCATATGAATAAAAAATTACCCTGCACAGAAATATTGGCAGTTAATATCTTATTAACTTACTTTCACCAACTTGTGGACATGTTGATTTAGGTTTTAGTTTACTCACTCAGCTTGGATTTTCATGCTTTTCAAGGGAAGCTTAGTGACAAGAAAGTACACTCTCTTCTAATGGCTGAATGTGGCACCTCTCAAACAGTCATAGCTACATTTTACTGCAAATCTTTAGTTCTTAGCTCTGTTATATGCTGCTATGTTACTGCAGCATTTCTTCTGTTGAGAGCTTGAGTTTAAATACTAGTTGAATTAACTCATAATTTTTTTCAAGGGAGAAAATGTGGTTTCCCAGAGAAGTCAGAGTCATGTAGTTGTTTCATGTGGCTCATGTGTTGTACGTGCTGAAAATCTTTGAAACAATAAGAATTCTGATAATTGTGTTTGGGTTTCTTTTTTTGGTCTTAAGGAGAAAAAAAAATGATAAAAAGAATACAGAAAAACCTTCTGGTCTTGATGATGGTCTGTGTTTGGATCTTTTTCTAGATCTGTTAAGCTTTGATGATGTAATAGCTACCTCAGATAATCTGTCACACCCTACTGCAAACCGACCCAAGATGACTGGTAGGAGGCCACCCTCCCGTTTCAATAGCAGTATACCTGTGAGTATATTGGCTGTCTTTTCCTAGTAGTGCACTAGCTTCCCAGGAAACAGGACTGCACTGGGAAACAGTTTATAAACCATTTAACTGAGAGCAAAATGCAAACTGCCTTGGAGGTTCAGTTCCTGTAGGCTTTGCCTGCAGGAGGATCTGTTCCCAGGAGGGCTGCCTTGCTCCAGAAGGACCTTTTCTGTTCTGTGGGGTACTGCTGCAGTAAGGACTCAGCCCTCCTGGCATCACAGGGGATGAAATAGGGGTTGTACACACACAACTCTCAAAGTGTCTTCAGTGACTTGAAGCCTCACCATGTGGTCTTCACCCACAACAGTGTGGGGCTTGTGATCTTATGTGCCAAGAGGTGAGACTGTCAGACCCTGGGAGCCAGGTGGTGAAAAGTCCTTGAGAACCATTTATATTATCAGATGTTGTTTAGTTCTGTCACACCAGCTACCATCCACAGTTACTGCCTGCTAAAGTTGGTGTCTTAGGGAAGCACCTCTGAAAGGATCAAAGAACTTTTTAGACACTGAAGAGATGCTTGAAAATCCTGTCCTGCAAAGATTCCTGTGTTTCCTTTAAATTCAGCTGAGTAAGAATTGTGGGAAAATGAAGTTCTGACTGGAAGAGAAAGAAAACTGTTGTAGTCTAGCAGTTTAAGTTTGGTTTTGTTATTTTGTTGTGTGGGTTTTTTTGTTTGGTTGTTTGTTTGTTTGTTTTTTTTTTCTTTACTATTGCATCTTAAGAAATGCGACAACTATTAAATATATTTTTAAAAAATCATTTTAATTCTGAAAAAGTGTTCCTTTTTTATGAATGGTTTACCAGGCAAGTCAAAATGTGAGTCCAGAAAAAAGTTTGAAGGTGCAGAAAGAAGAAGAAAGTGCCAAACCAAAGCCAGTTGAAACAAAAAAGGTATGATACCAAGGAGCTCGAGAAGTACCAGGCAGTTAGATGTTCTGTTCAGCTTTCTCATATTGTAGTTCAAATTCATGCAACCATCTAAATGCAAATAATTGTGTTTAAATGCAAGTGAGCCATCTCATTTAGTAGAAAGCTCATAGTAGAAATATTCATATGCAGTTCATTTATACTTCAGTATAAATTGTATCAGTTCTGGTGAGAACTGTTCTATCAGGTAGCATGAAACTATGGTGGTGTTTCCCAGGTAAACTTCATGTCTGCTCAGCATTTAGACTCCCCAACAGACAGAACAGCTGAGCAGATCAAAAAGGTGCACAAATAATAGTAATAAATCTCAGGTTTTTTGTAGGGTAGAGAACTGCAGTGCAACTACTGGTTTTAGTGACTGCAGGAACCTCAGGGAAATGCTTAATAAAGAGCTGTATAAAATAACTCTCAGATACTACAGTAGTCCATTTGAACTGGATGTTGTTTTTTGCCTTTTGGGTAGAAATTAAGGAGATCTGTGCACACGTAGCTCCCATTGCAGTACAACCTGCATGCTGTAAGTTCATAAAGATTTAATTTCTCAGCTTCCTACTGATTTATTTTTTCAGCCATCTGCATTCAGCCCACCAATTCCATCTTCATCTCAGAGACCAAGTTCTGTTGTACTCAACTTTTTTCCTGGAGACATCCAACTTAAAGGAGAAATAGAAGATGAAAAAATTTCTGTGGAAGAGCTCAGGACTCAGATTAATGATTTGATGGGTTTAGTAGAAGCACTGAAGAAAGAGCATGGGTAAATAATTTCCTTTTCAATACCATAAAAGGATATATAGACACCTTGCAAATGTCTTTAATGCCAAACTTCTTGAAAATAAAAAAAGCTATTCTGTATTAATATTAATTCAGAACTTTGTTCTTTAGAAGGTGATCCAGCTAAATGTCCTAAATCCATACAAATTGGATGTCAGAGCATTTTTGTAATTTGTACACTTTTTTTCCCCTTCCTATTTTGTCCACCTGCTTTCATGACAGCTTTCTGAAAATGCTTCTTAAACAGTACTTTCATTGTCAGGAAAAGTAGATAATTTTTGTGGTATTTAACATAAGTATGTGTGCTGGCCTTATGTAACAGTGCAAAAGTATTTGAGGTATTGACGTGGCTGGTAGTAGGGA